TGCCAGGGACCGCAGGCTGTGGGCTTACAGCTTGGAGCTTACAGTGTGGGGAGGAGACTGGACAGAGAGAAGGAGGGAAAGGGTGGGGAAAGGTAGAGATGGCCTCCCTCTGTCCCCCAGCCCCTCCCCTGTCCCCAGGGATAGTCAACCCTCCAGTGGGGAGCAAAGCATGGGGCGGGGGAACTGGGGAGACACGCTGGGCCAAGGTGCCTTGCTTCCCCAATGGGAAAGGCAGGTGGCATAGCTACTGTTTTAGTCCCATCTTACGAATGAGGAAACTGAGGCTCAAAGAGGGCAACGACCCTGGTAAGGAGGTGGCCAAGGCATGGCCACTCCATTCGAGAGAGCCTTTTATCTTCTTAGAGCGAAGCAGGCGCCACTAGCCATTTCCATTTAAAATTTAGGAATTCCATTTTTAGTCATACTAACCACACTTCAGGTGCTCAGTGGCCACGTGTGGCCAGTGGCTGCCATATTGGAGAGCACAGATATAGAACATTTCCATCATCACAGAAAATTCTGTTAGTGCTGCTCAAGACTGCCCATGGCTGCTTTTCTAGAAAGTTCCAGGTGACTGTGCTGCTCTAGAACAGAGGTCAGCAGACTACTCCCGGTTCGGCCCACCTCCTGGGTTTATAAATAAAGCTTTATTGGAACACATCCTGCGTATTTGTCTACACATTGCCTGTGGCTGCTGTCTGTGCCACAGAGCAGCGCTGAGCCACTGTGGCAGATTCCGGCAATGCCCACAGAACGAAATGGTTGGCTCGTGAGGTTACCCTTGTCTTGCCCTTTACAGAAGTTTGCCGGGCCCCTCTCTCCAGGCAGTCTCACCGCATGGTCTGACAATCATTGGTCTAAAGCTCGTTCTCGGAGTTTGAGCCTTGGACCAGCAGCACCTGGGAACCTGTTAGAAATGCACATTTCAGGCCCCATCCCTGACTTAGGGAATCAGAGATGCTGGCGATGGGGCCCAGGAACCTGTGTTTTAACCAGCTTCCCTGGACCTTCTGATGCAGGCTCAAGTTGAAAACCACTCATCCAAACACCATGCAGGAAATGCCACCCAGTGACGGGCACAGGGAAGGTGCTGCTCGGCTCCCGTGGGAACAGAGGAGTCTGGAAAGATGTCAGAAGAGTGACAGCCCATTTGCCGCCCAGCCCTCTGCAGTGATGAGGCCGGGCCCACGGCCAGCAGGAGAGGACCTCCCAGCCACGCCTGTGCC